TAAGAATCGTAGCTTAACCGAGGTCTACTTCATCAACCTAACAAGACAGTAAGATTAAGGATCACCATTCGCAGAGTCAATGGCGTCAACTCCAGAAAACGAATAGTACATGGCAAAAACAGTCATTATGTGCTAGCTGTGACTGCTTGCAAACAAGAAATCATAAACGAGCCCCAAATATTCCACAATGTTGCCAGGTTCGGCGTTGACATAAATGCTGGCTGGACTAAGGGGTCATGAATTCAGCTCGGATTGAATGTTAGCTAGAAAAAAACGCTGCCGCTGGAGCTTATTGTATAGGCTTTAATAATATCGCCGGAGAACGGAAAAATGAATCGATGGGTGATTGACTCGGTTGCACTATTGGTGCATAACGAGAACCGTAGAGGACCATAAACGCTACTTTGCATAAATTCGATGTTGATGGAAGGTGGTGATAAGGAGGGACCTCCCAGATCAGTAGCCATCAGTTCCAGTAAATCATAATGTTTTGAGAAGGCCAGCGTGATGGACTCGGTCCAACGCCTTACAAATATAATAATGATAATAATAATAATGACAATAATGTTTATTCCCCACTTGTGGGTAGCATACCGTCTGGCATGATCATAGTTTTACAGTCAGAATGGAGCATGACTGGGGAATTCGTGGGGGTGCGGATTGCACAAAAAGTGGACAATGTCACAAACAAGGGGGATACCCAATGATATAGTAATAATAGGTTATTTCCCAACTTGTTGTGAAAAATGGGCATGAGGTTCGACTAGAGCAAAGAGAGTCAGGTGGCATGAACTAAAACTGAGAACCATTGCCAGCCATTAGTGACCTTGGGTGGTTACCTAAATGACCGGATTCACAACGAGCAAAAGTGGAGATGGAGATGGGATAATTCAAATTGGGACCACATGACAGGTTTTGTCTGAAAGCAAGCGGACTCACTGGTTGCACTGTTGTAGGGATGTCAGGTACAGGGGGATGGGTTGGATAGGGGCAAGTTCCTAATACATAGGGCGACCTGAATTCCGTATACGGATTTGAACTTGTGCAGCAGGCAAGTCGAAATTGCAGCAGAAAAGCCAGGCTAGCAAGATCTGAGCGAAAAATTATTGGGTACGGAAGAGCTCATCCCAGAGACGTGGCCGGAAGGGAACTGCTCGAAGTTGTGGGCGAGGGGTTGCGGTCGAGATTCTGGAGAAGATAGTTGCGGGAGTGCCATCTCACTGGGTATGACAGTGCCATGCCACCATCGCACTGACATGCTTCGGTTTATGGACAACCCCGTAACGGTCGTCACATCATATATTTAGCCTGCACCATCACATTCATCCATCACAAACTTCTGACTCTTTAGGCGTCAAACTAATTCTGACGAACTTTCCCGTGCAATTTTCAGTCATTTGTCTTAGCACTTGCAGTGCCTTCATGTGTGTTGGTAATTCACATACAGTTGCGGTTCTTGCCAGGCATTCGTTGGGCTTGCACGATTCGTGCAACAGTCGGACGGATATCCCAATAATTTGAGGCTTGCCATCTTTTTAGATGCATGCTTCGTACATGCGATACTGCATTGTTTTGATTACTCTCATGGCTTCGCAATCCTGGCTTGTGAATTTGCGCGTCACTCAATCGGGCTTTCCGGAATATCTCACGTATTCTACACCTAGTTAATCGGTGGAATGTATACGACGAAACCACACAGTGGCTTTTTATCACAAAATTATGCCCAAGATTCCACTTTTTACATTCTTGATCACTTGTTGCGCCCATTTCTCCAGCTACCTGCTATCGATTCATTAGAGGTGAGAACTGTGTTCAAATTAGCTTGGAACTTACTGCTGCACTAGTTGATAAAATGGCCTTCCTGAAACATCCCTCTTTTTACGAAAAATCTGTGTGAGATATTTCGGTAAAATGCTAGATCATCAGATCTATTGCAAACTATACCGTGATGATCAGACCAAATTGTTGATTGGCGTAGGTTAAGAGTTCTGGCTGGTTGGTTCGAGTAAACGTGGTATATGGGTTGACTACGGAGGGCTTTTGTCGCGGTCTTTATGGTTAATGATATTAAATATAAGGCAGGATGTGGTACGGCAGTTCAATAAACATTTGGTGCTGCTGATTAACCATTCAGCGCCTAACAAAATTCATTTGTCCAACTTGAGAAACCGGCATTGCTACTGAACTAGTGTTATAAGAACTTAATCTGTCCTGTGGAATAAATACACAAAACATTTCAGTTTCTAGTTACTTCTGCGGACTGTTCTTCCACCAGATGCGTTGTACTCAGCCACGTGAACAATTATAACGGTGAAAAGTGACTGACAAAGGGTTATTAGTATTTTATTTTATGATTCACCCATCGTCAATACTCCTACGGCATATAGCTGCTATGTCATCCAAAAAGAAGGCGCGGACCAAAATACTCCCAATTCACCCAAGCTTGGACAAAAGCGGACAAAGTACCGAGGTTGGCTTCAAAGCACGAGCCTTTCTGTTTGCGTACCAATGCGTTAAACGCCGAGCTATTTCGGACCCTAGACTGTAAACTTAGCTCAATATTCCATCTTCCACACATGGAAGTGACTAAGCATTAGCATTAGGACCGTCCTCAGCAGGATTTGTAACCCTTAGAGATGGCGTTCCTCTGCTGTTACTCCTTTGACTGTTCCCAAGTGTGAAGGCAGTAAAATTTTGTGTTCAGTTTGTTCATAATTTTGTAATCAGCCAAGGTGTATCTGGTAAGTCTGCATATAGATCTGTGCCTCTGGTGAGTTGGTCCTGAAGACCGGTACATGTTTACTGCTAATGCATAAGGAATTAGTTAAGATTTGTTGAACACCCGCTGTTTAAAGAAAAGATTTTGGTCCTCACATAGCGACTAGTGTGGCGTTTTGTACCTTTGTTTTACTTCCATTATAACACTACGTATTTCATCAATTGCATAATCGTTTTTTGTTTGAATACGAAAAACTACAAAAACGCGCACTTCTACAATTTCACGAAATAAAAGCGTGGTCGCGTGCTTCGACTCTCTCATCTGATTTCGCTGGCGCTTGCAGCGGTCATTCGCGAGTCTCATGTACTAACTCTGGTACCAAAACATTTCAGACATCTTCGGAATCTATTATATGTGGGAACTGTTCAGAAGAAGACCTCTGGACCAACAAAATTGGATTATTGTTTATTTACTGACCTGGGCCAACGACGAACTATTTTACAGAGAACAAGTGTTAGTGAGTCTGTTCCGTCTGGTCTCTTTATTTTTGTATACCCAACCTAGCGTAATTATTTTTATTTCTTTGCCACACAATAACCTATTGGGTAGCCAGAACACTACACTAGGTAATGCTCTAAAGGTTTTGGCCGTATAATGATCTGAGTATGTGATTTTCCTTCAACCTCAATTGCATTCCAAAAACTGGGCCATTTGTAGGACAGTGAAATTTATCAAGATTTATGCACTCTCCGGAAGGAGCCGATTTTGGGAATAAATGCCCCGTGAAGACGATTCTATAGGGTATACATTTCCTGCGCGCGCAACTTAAGGAGTTGCGACGGGGCTAAAGCTATCACTATCCTT